TTTCTTTTTGCTTAATATCAATACAGACCTTGCAGGCATCCGAAGGATGGTAGAGGATTACCACAGATAACTGAACACATAAACTTGATAACTTCAGTGAAATGAACCAATTATTCGAAAAACACATACTACCACAACTCATCCCCTATAAAATAGATAATTTGAATAGCCCTATAACCATTAAGAAGCCCTGGTGGTTAAGAGCTATGGCTGCTAACCCAAAAGGTCAGCGGTTCAAATCCACCAGGCACTCCTTGGAAACTCTACAGGGCAGTTCTACTCTGTCCTATAGAGTTGCTATGAGTCGAAATTGACTCGATGGCAAACAGGTTTGGTTTTGATTTTTATAGCCATTAAGCAGCCCTGGAGGCATAGCTGTTAAAGAGCTTGGTTGCCACCCAAAAGGTCAACAGCTTGAATCCACCAGGCGCTCTTTAGAAACCCTATGGGGCAGTTTTACTCAGTCCTAGAGGGTTGCTATGAGTCAGAATCGACTCAACGCAACGAGTGTGGTTTTTTTTTTTTTTTTTTTTGTTGGATAGCCATTAAGGAGCCCTGCTGGCGCAGTGCTTAAAGAGCTTGGCTGCTAACCAGAAAGTTGGCAGTTCTAATCTACCAGCCGCTCCTTGGAAACCCTGTGGGGCAGTTCTACGCTGTCCTTACAGGGTCGCTATGAGTCGGAATTGACTCAATGGCAACAGGTTTGGTTGGGTTTACAGCCATTAAGGAAACTGAATTCAAAATTAAAATATCCCCCCCCCCCAATTTCTAGGTTCATATGGTTTCACTAGTGAAGTCTACAAAATATTTAAAGAAGAATTAACACCAATTCTATACAATCTCTTTGAGAAAATAAATGAGGAGGGGCATTTCCCAATTCATTTTACAAAGCTAGTGCTACCTTGATACCAAAGCTAACAAAGATGGTATAGAAAAAGAAAGTCACGGACCAATATCCCTCGTTAATGTATACGTAAAAATCCTTAATAAAATGTTAGCAGATAGAGCTCAGCAATATATACATAGCATCTTACACCCTGACAAAGTGGGGCTTATTCCAGGGATGCAAGGCTGACCCAATACTCAAAAAAATAAAGGAACATAATCCATCCTATTACCTAGTTAAACAAGAAAAATCACACGATCATTTCAACTGATGCAGACACAGCATTTGACAAAATCTAACACCCATTCATCATAAAAACCCTCAGAAAAATAGGAAAACGGGAACTTCCTCATTTGGATAAACATCCATTATTAAAACAAAACCTACAGCTAACATTTTACTTAATAGTGACAGACTGCATGTGTTCCCCTTATGACTGGGCACAAGGCAAGGATGTCCGCTGTCTCCTCTGCTATTAAACACAGTATCGGATGTCTGAATCAATAAAATGAGGCCAGAAAAGGAAATAAAAACCCAGACAGATAAAGCAGAAATAACACTTTCCACAGATGAACCGGTTGTCACTGAGTTGATTTTGACTCATGGTGACGCCATCCGTACGCGACCTCTAACTGAAAGGTTAGAGGTTTGAGTCCACCCAGAGGCCCCTCAGAAGAAAGGCCTGAGGATCTACTTCCAAAAAATATGCCACTGAAAACTCTACGAAGCACATTTCTGTTCTGACACACACGAGATCTCCAGGAGTCGGCATCAACTTGACAACAACTGGTTTAAACATCTGAAGGTTTAAACGTTGTCCGTGTAGAAAACCCCAAGAAATCCATTTAAAAAACTAGAACTAACCTGTGACCTCAGCCAGTTTGCAGAATACAAAGAAGTATTCAAAATCAATTGTATTTCTAGGTACTAGAAATGAACACGTTGACAGCAAAATCAAGAAATACAATACATTTACAATTGCTCAAAGAAATAAAAAACAGACATCAATTTAACAAAATATGCACAGGAGTTGTAAGCTGAAAACTATTCAACTCTGATTAAAGAAATCAAAGAAGAAATAAACAGAGAGACATACTCTATGCACAAATGGAAGGACTCAGATAGCAAAAAGGTCAATTTTCCCCAAATTGATAGTCAGGTTCAATAAAATTCCCACGAAAATCCCAGTGAGACTTTTTGCAGACATAGACAAGCTTACTGTAAAATTCATACAGAAAGGCAAAGGGACTAAAATAGCTAAAATAATTTTGAAAAAGAATAAAGTGGGAGGAAGTAGTCTACCCAATTTGAAGACTTAATATATAGCTACAGTAATCAAGACTGTGTGGTATTAGCAGAGGGACAGACAGACAGATCAGTGTAACAGAATACAGACCCCACGCAAATGTGCCCAAGTGACTTTTTGACAAAGGTGCAAAAACAATTTAATGGAAGAATGATAGCCTTTTCAACAAATGATGCTAGAGCAACTGGACATCCATATGCAAAAAAAAAAAAGAACACAGACCCCAGTTTCACACCTTATATAAAAATTAACTAACATGGGTCACAGACTAAAATATAAAATATAGAACTATAAAACTTTTTGGAAAAACCATAGTACAACATCTTCAGTATCTAGGACGCAATGAGTTCTTGGACTTGACACCAAAAGCGTGATCCTTAAAAAGAAAAATGGATAAACTGGACTTAATCTAAATGAAAAACTTCAGCTCTTTTGGAGACCCTGTTAAGGGGATGAAAGGACAAGCTACAGACTGGGAGAACATATTTGCAAACCACATACCCAACAAAGGACAAGTATCTAGAATACATAAAGAGATCTTAAAACTCAACAGCAAAAAGACAACTAGTCCAATCAGAACATGGGCTAAAGATGTGAAGAGACATTTCACCAAAGAGGATACACAGCTGGCAAATGAGCCCACGAAAGGATGTTCAACATCATTAGCCAACAGGTAAATGCTAATTTAAAACACAAGACAGCACTGCTCGCCCATCAAAATGGCTAACACAAAAAATAGCGACACCACCAAACGCTTCAGAGGATGCAGAGACTGTGAATCATTCACGCATTGCTGGTGGGAATGCACACTGGTAGAGCTGCTCTGGAAAAGTATATAGCAGTTTCTTTCAAAACTATGTGCTCACCATACAATCCAACGATTGCATTCCTGGGCTTTTATCCCAGAGAAATGAAGATTTATGTTCCCACAGAAACCTTTACAGAAATGTGGATAGCAGCTTTATTCATAAATGCCCCAAAGCTGGAAACAACCCAGGTGCCCCTCAGTGGGTGAATGGTTAAACAGACTAGTACATCCCGTATCGTGGAATACTACTCAACAATTAAAAGGAACAAACTGTCAATGCAAGTTACAACCTGGATACATCTCCACAGAATTATGCTGAGTGGAAAACGCCAACAACCAAAACACACACTGTATGAACCCATTTATGTAACATTCTTGAAACGATAACATTATAGGGATGGAAAAAGATTACTGGTTACCAGAGGTAAGGAAGGGGTAGGGGCAGGAGAGAAGTCGGTGTGGGCCTAACAGGGCACCAAGAGGGAATCTTCTGGTAAAGCAAGTCTCTTCTGTATCTTGACTATCGATGTCAAAATCCTGGTGGTGACAGCGTTAGTTTTACAAGATGCCACCACTGGGGGAGACTTGTAAAGAGTATAAGGGATCCCTCTGGATTATTTCTTACGAGTGCTCGTGAATCTACGATTATCTAAAAATAAAAAGTTTAATCAAAAAACTAAAAAAAAATCTTCGTGAGGGTCACTTTCAGTGCAGTGGGCAGAAACTATGTCTTCAGTAGTGTGACAAAATAGCATTGATTTATTAAAACGTATGCCATTTCTCATCACGTGCACGGCATTTACTAGGAAGCTGGAAGAATTCAGAGATGAAGACCAAACCTCATAGGCACTAGAATTACAGTATCCCCTTGCATGCTGTACTGGTTAAAGGTCTTAATTTTTAATAAGAAAAATGAGCACTGATTCACTTCAGACGTTTGGGTTCAACGACCCTCACGGTACACACCATTACTCACGATTCGCGCTACGCACCGTTCACACGTCGTAGACGCTGAAACACCGTTGTACGCAGCAGTGCGTGGGTGTGCACCAGCTCTCTCCTGGAGTGGAAGGCAGGGAACAAGAGGCCTCCCGCCTTACATAACCAGCTGACTCCTTGCCATGCCTAGTCCTACCCACTCCCCCAAATGTAAAGTCATGTCGAACGCACAGGGCTGGGAGCAAACTGTCCTTTCTCCTATATTCCTCTGAGCCACGTTTATAGTGTCTCCTATACGTTACGCGGTTTCCTGTCTGCTGGCCAACAACCATTACCGAGAGTCCATAGCACCACGAAGCCCACGTTCCACTGGGAAGAGATGACGCTTTAGTAACTAAATATCATGCCGGCCAGTAGAAAGCGTTAGGAAGAAAGACGAAGGGGGGTATGGTAGGGAACCACGGTCTAAGGCAGCACCCAGAAACAGCGGAGTGAGAGCACCTGCAGGTACGGGCTCACCATCCCCGCCAGAACACCTGGCTGGGCCTTCTGCAGAAAGACGAACAGGAAAGATGCCACGGAAATTCTCAAAATCCCACCCGTGGTCGCGTGATGACGGTGAAATGATCTGATTTATCTTCCCTCTGTTTCTGACATGTCTGAAATACAGTCGTACGAGGATGACTGTTAAAAGTACCCTGTGAAGTACAAGCGTGAGGAGGCCTCCGTTTCTCACAGGAGGACATCCCTGGGATGCAAAGAGGCCGACCTGGAGTGACTCCTGGGCTGTAAAACCAGGATGCAGGCATTTGTCTTCTGCAATGATTGTCTGCACAAAGCCAAAAAGCGGCCTCACGGTCAGAAGCTGGGATTAGGCGGTCAGGAGGAGGGACGGGGCTATCTCTTAAACTCACAGCCTTCGTTTTTCTGCCGGGGCTGGACAGGCTGTGTGACAGACAATACACTGGCTGGGGTCCCCGGAAAACTGCTCTGGAGGGAGGTGCAGGGTTTAGAGAAAGAGGAACACAGGGTTGTCAAGGGCCCGTGCAGAACGCACTCACCGAAGGCAGCTGGAAGGCGGTCACCTGCTGTGTGTCCCTCCAACTCTCCTCCTGAAGAAGGGAAGGGTCTTGTGAAACTGAAAGAGACGGGAAAAGGGTGTTTCCAAGGGGCCGGGTCTTGTCCTGGTGCCTCTCTAGCTCCCTGGGGTCCTCTGCATTTCAGGTTTGTTGGGTGAGGACAGTCACAAGGGAAGAGCCAACAGGCAGCCATTTCACCAACTTTTCACAAAATCCTAAGTCTTTTCTCACCTGTAAAATGAGGATTACCAACAACGCACGTGAAAAGCACTTCACAACCACTTCACAGACAGCAACGCGGGCTTTGAAAGGGACTGTCGTTATCCTTGTTAGCTGTCACTGACTCCAACTCCTGGCGACCCCACGTGTGCAGAGCAGAACTGCTCCAGGGGGTTTTCAAGGCTGTGAACTTTCAGAAGCTGAGCGCCAGGCCTGTTCTCCCTAGCGCCTCTGGGTGGGTTCCAACTGCCAACCTGTCAGCTAGGAGTTGAGCGTTTAACTGTCTGCGCCACGCAATGATGCTTTGAAAGACAACACCCAGGTCAATTGGCTCTGCCACTAACCAGCTACTTGACCTGCAGGTCCAGGGACACATTTCATCACCTATAACAGGAAGATTATAAAGTTTAAAACTCTAGCATCGAGGTATCAGTAAGGGTTGTAATCTGTGAGGGTTGCTGCAAGACACCAGAGACTTAGAAGAAAGTAGTTTGTATACCGCAAAGCTCGATAAAAAAAGACTTAGCACCATTAAGTGCTTCTAGAAGATCCTTCGGTCCAGCACCCTAACTACCACCACACAAAACTGTACAGAATGTGGTTTTGGGATCATCTCACCTTCCCTTATTTTTAGCTCCCAAATACACTCCTAAGGGCTTTCAGCGCCTCTGCCATGCTCTGATAGGACGTGTCTCCCCGGAATGGCAGCGACTTCTCGCTTGGACGGTATGTAAGCAATAAGCTAAGTACCGGGCCAACAGTGTAGCCACGTGAGAATGAGCCTTGCATTTCAAAAGGTGCTCCTTTCACAGAACGAAAGTTGGAAAGCTGCACTGTAATCTCTCAGTTTAGAGAAAACCCCAAGGTCACGAGTTAAATCAGTGCCACAACTGAGAGGAGAAGCCAGCGTCCCTGACCTTTCTGCCCCAGGCGCAAAGCCTTCAGGGAATAACAGGTGCTGGAGTAGCTATTTGGAGCAAGGGGCTGGGCCTAGGAGCTGACACAGCTCGCAGTGAGGTGCCTGGTGGGGCCCCGGGAGGCACCCTCCTCACTCTGCTGCTGGAACCTCAGGCCTGGGAGGGGGCTTCTAATCAGGCTGCCTGATACCTCCCCACCTTCTAGGCGATGAACTAGAGTCCCACCCTATCTTCTCCCACGATAAATGAATAAAGGAACATTTGGCAGATCACTCTGGAAAGCGTTCAGGCCATAAAGGAAATCATTTAAGATGGTTGGCTATTTGCTAGCTTTTTGGGGGAAAACCTTTAAAATTAGAAACCACCACTTTTACTGGGGGTTCAATCCGATAGTGAGCCACCCTGATGTTTAAGCTCTTTCTTCTATCTGACTCTTGCCGGGCCTACTCTGTGCATTTATTACTGTCCACAGAGATGGAAGACCTTATGCTTTTGCCCCAAAAACCTATCTGTGGTGTCCGGCTCATTTTAGGACATCACCAAGAAGAGGCTGCACAGGTAGGCTGCTGTGGTTCCCGGAACTGCCCTTCTCCCCAGAGTCCTCTCTGATCCCAGCACAGGGCCCCGTACAGCCTGTACTTCCTGTGTAACCCAGGCTGGTTCACCTGCTACCTGCTGATGCTTTGGGGGAGGGCTGTTTTCTTAGGGCTATCTCGACTTTTAAAGAACCAGAGGCTGAAGAGTTCATCTGATCTGTACAGAGGTTACTTACTACAGTTTCACACAGAGAGAAACTTAACCAGCACTTTTTTAGTGAAAAGTTTATTACAATGCCACGGACAGCTTCTATGAGTCGCAAGAACGCAGTTGTGACCTTCACGCACTCTTCTTCCCAATCTAGAACTACAGTGCAGTGTGGAAGTCCACCCAAACTAATCCCATGTTACAGCCTTCCTTTGACCTCAGGGCACCCAATTTCCCATGATAATTACATCAACTAAAAACTATGTACGGGATGAAACAACAAACGGATGTATGGCTCAGGCACTGTGCTAAACATTTCACATCTTTTATCTCACTTAATCCTCAAAATACCCAATAAGGCTGGCTATTATCTCCATTTGAAAGATGAAGGGACTGAGGCTTAGAGTCTAGAAACTAGCCCAGGGCTGTACCTAGAGGATGCAAGAGAGCGCAGGGCGTCCCCAGCCCACTCCTCACCACACTCCCACAGCCTGTGTACCTGGGTCCCCGCTGAGCTGCCCTGGCGGTCGGCTCAGGAGCCCGGTGCCCTCTGCCAGAGCCATGGGGTGGGCATCCTGGTTCTTTGCAAGGTCACTCTGGGGCTCGGTGGGCAGTCGGTCCTGCTCCTGGTCCGGATGGCCATCCCCATCGTCGATCACCACGGGGTCTTCAGAGTGCTTGAGCTAGAATCCCAGAGAGGGCTGTTCAGGTGGAGAGGTCCCAGGCCAGGGGTGGGACCAGCCCTGCAGTGCAGGGGGCTGGGCAGGCTCCCTCCTCCCCTGGGCCTGCTGACCGTCAGCAGCTCAGCCCAGGCTATGGACAGGGCTGTAAGGGAGATGACATCACTGGGCGCCATACGAGGGCCTGTGGGGAAAGAAACCTGCTTTCTTGGGAAACCGACATCTAATCTGGGCTTACCAGAGGTACACAGTGGCTGTAGACAGGATTCCACAACCTCGGCCAGAGAACGGTTAACCCCCTCGGCACACCTGCTCCCAGCCCCACTCTATGCCCCACCTCCCAGCCCAGCCAGCTCCCTCCGCTCACCCACTGCCAGGGTCTCCCTGGCTCCCGCTCCAGTGTCTCCACTGCAGCCACAGCCTGCTCGCCGTTCTCGGGCTCCTGGGCCCGCACCCAGCTCTGGATTTCCCGGGGCAGGATGGCCAGGAACTGCTCCAGCACCAGCAGCTCCAGGATCTGCTCCTTGGTGTGCCTCTCAGGCCGCAGCCAGCCCCGGCAGAGGTCCCAGAGGCGCTGCAGGGCCTCCCGGGGACCCGCCGCCTCCTGGTAGCGGAAGCGGCGGAAGAGGCGGCGGGAGGACTCTGGACTGGGGAGCTCTCCTTGGGGGCTAGGTTTCTCTCCAGGTGGGCTCCTCATTTTCCTGGGCTCCTCACTTTCCTTCGGAGCCAAGACTCGGGGGCACAGGGCTGTGGGCATGATGGGATTTGATGGGGGTCAGCAGCAGAAGACGACCCTATTTCCAAACAGAAATTGCTGGCTTCAATGTTCTGGTCTCCTGCGTTAGTTTTTGGGGGTATTGATGGGGAAACTGACAAAGCCCACAGAGACCAGCCCTTTGGAGAAGCCCTGGGATTCCCCAGGTGAGGGGTGTCCATGTGACTGGTCCTTACGCACAAGGACAGAAAGAACCCACCCCCATCCCTGAGACCCTCGGTACCACTGTGTGTGCATCCCTCTAGCTAGATGATGGCGGCAATGAGGCAGGGAGTCCAGGAGACAAGTGATGGCATTTCCACATGACCCCGGCCTTCTGAGCATCCCAGAGGACCGATGGGGCTGCATGCAGGGGGAGACGTTAAGTAAGGCTCTCTGGTACCTTCGGTGGCCAGGTCCTCTTGGAGAGGACCCAAGATGGATGTGTCTGAGCAGGCTGCTATCTTGAGGCTTTGGGGCAGAAGTCACCGTCCTTGGTCTGAAGACCTTTACAAACTGAGCTGGAAAAACACAGGCAGACATGCAAGGGAAGAGCCTTTAAAGCACAGCGAGGTTCAGAAAATCCAGCCTGCTGACAGCTGAGGGCCAGGCACCTGTGCTCAGGGCTGGGTGCGCCCGGGAGCCAGAACCGCTCCCAGTGGAGCCTGTCCTGAAACGCAGAGGAGGGAGAGACCGACAGGAAGATGCCCAGACGAGAGGTCACGGGAGTCACAAGAGAGCCACAGACTGCACTTACCAGAGAGAAATGCTACTATATTTTAAAGCGTCATTGCTTTCGGACCAGCCTGCTGCCCAACTCGTTTGAGCACCTGATAGTAAACTTTATCATTTATTGAGAGGTGCTCTGACCTTCAACTCTGCCTCCACCTCCTTCTCAACCCTTATCCTCTTCAAATCACACTCAAGGCAACTGCACAACCCTCCCCGCCCTCCCTAAGGCAGATCAGGGGAGCGAGGTGGTACCGGCACAGCTCAAATCCCAGCTCTCGGCCCTTGGTGAACTGCCCATATCCACATCCGCACGGCGGGAGACAGGAGTCTATACCTCCTAGAACAGACAGGAGGCTGCTGCACGTGTGGACCCAATGACCCCAAGCAAGGTGAAAACAGAGGCTGCTATCTGTGACATAGGGTCCCTGACCCAGACTACAGGTGCAGGGTGTCAGAGGAACAAGCTATCAGGTTAAAGAGATGGTTCACAGAGCACTGTGGGCAGCCACATACCAGGGACAGGGGTCTCCCAGGATGGGAGCACAAGGAAAGACGCAAGGACAAACGGACACGCGCAGTCCCTCTCCGCAAGCCCGCTCACTCACCCTCCACGACCTCACCTGCATGAGGCCCCCAGTGCACAGAGGAACTTAACACCCCGCCTCTCACTTGCCCCCCTTCCCCAGTCCCCTGGTGGGGGTGTGTGACAGACCTCACTCCCTTTCATAGAAGACAAGTGAGGCCAGAAGAGCAGCAAAGTCACTGAGAGGCGGTTAGAAAAACCACGTCTCTGGACCCTCTTGCTTTCCAACCTAAAAACAAGTACAAATTGGCCTAAGAGGACTCAGAGGGCCTCTGGCCGAACACATTACCAGCTCAGCCCACCGCTGAATTCCCTCCAGAGTCCAGAGCCCCATCTGGTCCCCACCAGCTTCTCCCCACCCTCCCTGCCAAAGCAGCCCCCTTCCCCACCCTCCCCTTGGCTATTCAGGTCTGCCCCCACCCTGAGAGAACCCAGGGCCTACCCTCAGCACCCCAGTCCCCGCTGTGTGGCTGCCCAGTCGGTGCTCTGTGGACCTTATCTTAAACCAGACAGCTTGTTCCTCTTTGTAACCCTGCACCTGGTGTGCTGGAGGCTCAAAGAACTAAGGTTGACGGGGGAGGGCTCCTGCACTGGGCGTGTTTAAACCAGCTCTTGGAGGAGGGACAGACCGGCATTAGCAGGAAGGAAAGGGGAGGGCATTTTAGGCCAAGGAAAGGAGAAAGCTTTTCATTCCATTCTCTCACTCGCTCTCTTACACGCTCTCTTCTACACCCGCGCACACACAGTGACCAACCAAGGAGAAAGCTTTTCATTCCATCTCTCTCTCTTACACTCAATTCTGCACACACACACAGTCACCAACCAACAAGAAAGCTTTCATTCCATCTCACTCTCACACTCGCTTCTGCGCACACACACAGTCACTAATCAAGAAGAAAGCTTTTCATTCCATCTCTCTCTCACACTCGCTTCTGCACACACACACACGCACACACACACAGACACTAGCCACACGGCTCCAGGCTTCTCACCTCACAGCCTGGAACTCCTTCCCAGCGTCTAACTCAAATCCCTCCTGCTGCAGCGGAAGTCCGCGGCGGCAGCTCCTCATCCTTCCAGCCCGATCTCCCCGGTGTCCTTCTTCAGGCGGGTTCTCTGCAGGGACCCGGCTCCCTCCCTGGCCAGCCACCACCCCCGCTCCTGCTCATCCAGAAAGCCGCCGCTCCGTTTGGGAGGGAAGGGGTGGGAGGAAATGGAGGCGCCTGAAAAACAAAACTGTACTGGTTTGTCCCCGCCCGCAGACCCCCGCACCCTGCGCTCGGAGGCCCGGGCGCGCGGGGAGC